CTCTCTCTCTCTCTCTCTCTCTCTCTCTCTCTCTCTCTCTCTCTCTCTCTCTCTCTCTCTCTCTCTCTCTCTCTCTCTCTCTCTCTCCCCTCCGCACTCTTCGAATCCTCGCCCGTACGGCCAAGCTCCACACCTTTCGAATCCCCACCCGTACGGCCAAGTTAAACATGAGCCAAAACGACAATTACATGTACGTCCTTCTCAGCTAGTGGATTTTCACGTCGATGACCTTGGGCTTCTCGGGCTCCTTGGGCGGAATCTTCGGGACGGTCACGGTGAGGACGCCGTCCTTGCACTGCGCGCCGATCTTGTCCAGGGCTGCATTGTCTGGCAGCGTGAAGCGCCGCATGAATTTCCCAGTGCTGCGCTCGATGCGATGGTACGTCACTCCTCCTGCTTCTCCCTTCTTCGTCTCACGGTGGCGTTCTCCGCTGATGACCAAGACGTTCTCATTCTCCAGCTGCACCTTGACCTCCTCACGGCTAAGTCCCGGCAGGTCGGCCACGAACTCGTACGCCGTCGGCGTTTCCTTCACGTCCACCGCGGTGTTGGCCATGGCGCGCGACTCCCTCACGAAGGCACGGCCAGGCTCGTCCTGCGATCTGAACACTTCGTCCCCAAGGGAAATTATCTGACGCACCGTGTCGGCCATCGAGCCAAGACCAGCATCGCGCGCGAAGAGAGGGTACAGCGCCATGACGACAGCGATCACAAGAAGGGATCGCGCACGGCTATGCCGGGAGGGAGCAGCGCGCAAGCAATGGGTCTGCGGAGTCTGCCACCGCTGGCTACAGTGAGCTGTACCGCAACAATGTCAGCTCGCAGGAGGACGAAGGATGCAGCACGCTCGCCAAGACCGCACGAATTGCAAGGGACACGTGTGGTTGCTACGCACGTGGCGCGCAGGTGAAGATCACACTCGTTCGGCTAACGAAGCACCAGCTAATAGTCTTTCAATAACGCTGACTGGCGGCGACTATAACCCTTACACATAGAACGGAACGGGAGAGTAGAGCAATATTGAGCTCTCGAACGAAGCAGCAATAGCAATAAGGGATGCGGGCGTAAGCAGCTGCTGGTCGCTACGGCATCCGATCATGAGTATTAGGCTTCCACACACTCGAACGAAGAAGTAATACCCGTATATGTAGAGCCGGCACAGGCGGAGTGAAGACACCGGAGGGGGCGCGGGGGAGGGGGGGGCAAGGGGCAGCAAGGGAGCTCTACCTCCCTGGCGGAGCTGGGCGTGTGTCACTACTCCCAGCCGTGAAAAAATTGCGACTCCATCTTTGTGACCTATCCTACTGCGACATTCTAGCACATTCTAGGACAGGAGGCGCTCGGCACCTTTTTCCCCCCCCCCCCCCCCCCACCAACCATCCCCTCCCCCCACACACATCCCGTTAGTATTTGCCAGCGACTGGAGAATATTCCAGGCAACTGTTCCGTTAGAACTTTCTCGAGTTTTCGAGTCTCCCCAGCCGCAGTACTGGAAGGGCCTCGCCGCAAAGGGTAAAAAGAAAAAAGAAAAAAAAAAAGAAAAAAAAAAAAGAAAAAAAAAAGATGGCGGCGCAAATTCCCATGTTCTAGGTAAACATTCGTTCTGATTCATTCTCATTCTCATTTTGTACATTTGGTGAGTAGCGCGGCGAGGCCATAAGGTGTTTCTGGACTCGCCGGGGCAAGGTGCCACTTGCGCAAATTAAGATATTTCGGCCGTCGATCTTTGCTATCTACGGTCAGTATCTCTTAATTCGTTCGTGCAAGTGGGACCTACACGTAGCCCCCTGGTTGCCGTCTTATTTTTCCTACGACTTTCGTTTTCCTCTTTTCTTCTTTTTTTTCTGTTTTTTTTCCTCGTTTTCTTCGATTGCCTCTGGGAGTTACTAGACGCCTCGCGCTTGCGAACGGGGGCGTACCCCCACAGGGACTTCCGTGCATGAATTATGGCGAAATTGCGCCCAAATTCAGTCCAGAAAAAAGTCGTTGGTCTGGATTCGTCGGGTCTTGCCCGAGAAAAGAAAAAGTAACCCTGAGAAAAGCGCTTTTCGATTCCTAAGGGGGGGCCTTCTAGATTGCTCGGGAAGGACACACAAGTCGCTGGGGAGATGGAAACGAAAAATGGGCCCCTACCAGCGGCCTATGGTAGCTCTATCTACAGGGAAGGCTCGCAAGTGGACTCAGCAGGTCCTGGGTTCAATTCCCATTGATCTTATGCACCTTCCTGGGCAAGCTTGGCGCCGGTTACCTAGAGGTAGGCCGTTGGTCCCCCCGAGTGGCATCCAGCACAGACTGCTGATGTTCAAAGTGGGAGGGCATCTCAAGGGACAACCAAGGGTTGCTGCTGGGAGGACGCTGGTCAGAGCTGGGGCGAGTTGTGTTGCCCTGTAACCGCGCAGGGTGGGGGCGTGAGGCCTGGAAGAGCTCGGCAGGGACTAAGACTGTGTTGGAGATTTTCAGAAGGGTTTGTTAGGGATCCCGAGGGTTGTGAGCATTCGTAGGACCTTTGTGGGAGCTTATTGCATGAGTAGTTCCTCCTAATGTTTTATGAATCACATAGTGTTCTCAGACTGTTCTCAGCCGGCGCCGGGTAATGGCTCCAGTATCTCAAATGTTCTCAAATGTTCTCAAATGATCTCAAATGTTCTTAAATGTTCTCAAATGATCGCTATAATTTGATATGGGACACTGGGCCCGGTTTCCAGCGCGTGCTGCTCCCCACGAATAGATTGGAACACTTATTTAAAAAAAAAAAAAAAAAAGGCACAACAACTAGCCCATTGAAAAGTTGGGTCCTGATGCTACAGGCTCACCCCTGTCCACCTGCTGTGGCAGGTATCGCACCTGCTGGTGGGTGCAGCTCGAGCATGTTCCCTCATTGGAGGCTTGAGCACGGATGTGGCTGCTACGAGGTTTCCCGTAATACTATAATTACAATAAAAAGGTTTGTAAGGTCATCATGTCCAGATTGGACAGATAATTGATTGGTTGGGCTTAAAGTACCAGTACATGGGCACCTGGGCCACAGACATGACACCTYGAATTGTGGAAGCGGGAAGCAAAAACATGACCGCCGATCCAATTTATCAACGACAGGCCCAACGTATGACGTTTCAGCCCCGTTTTCTTGTGGCGACAAGTTTCCGACTGGAAGGTTGAAACCGTGTACTAGTGGTTTAAAAAAAATAGCATTCAAAGAAGTATAAAAAAAAAAAGTTCAAACCAATTGATATAACTTAGTTGSTACCCTCGTGAACTGTTCAAATACAAAACCGGGTTCGAACTCTACTAGAATCAGATGAGTGAAATATTATAATTATGGTCGATTCGATGATGATATTTTAAGGTCGTCACTATTTTTTTAACAAAAAAAAAAGAAACCTAACTACCTTAGACCCTATCTCTATGGTACCCTGTGACCATCAGACGTTCCGACAAAGACCCATTGTTGAACATTTGCAGCGTGTAGGRGTGCGTTTATACTCTTCAAGTCATTTTAAACAATACCAATCGTCCGTTTTTGCCCAAATTGGTCGTTGGAGGGATGTTAAAATTGCAAGCAAGGAATCTTAGGAGGACAAGTAGTCTTTACAGACGTAGGATCGAAATTAACCGCGGTTCCGAGAAAAAAAGACGAAACGGCGCGTACCCCCCCGGCCWGGAACTTCAAAAGTTTCGAAAGGGTCTGCCCGCCCTATTTTCACCCACGAGAAACGTCCTATTTCTTTTTTCAAATAGAAGAGCACTTTGAATATAATACATCGGATTCCAGAGCCACAAGGAAGAGCAAGAAATAAGCAAGTGAACCGCTGTTTACTTTAGTTCACTTTCTGTTTTTTTTTTGCAAATCATAATTTCCTCACTGGTTTCACAGTGTAAGATGGAAATCAATCCTCCAGTAACTGGAGTAATAAATGTTGTTCAGAGATACTTCGGCAAGCTGAGAACTGTCCAAGCCTGGAGAGTGTTTTTTTAGGTCGTGTTCTTACGACTCGCCAAGTAGAAGACATCTTCATCGCGATATTGGAAAGGTGATTGTGAATAGAGGTGAAGATGAAGTATTTGTAGATGCGAATATTATGTTTGTTTTCCCCGCTAAGAAGAAAGACAAATTTATTAGAGATGTGTTTTTCAATCCTATGTGAGGGAGATTGAGAAATTAACGTAGTTTAAGTCCCGTTATTTTATTTTTGAGACATTACTTTTAAGTCTTGTAGATCTCATACTAATCTGCACTTAGGTTTTTCGGAGTTCATTCGGTTGTCATTGCTTGTTGAATTTTGAGTCATCATTAACCGATTATTGATTTTATATAAGATTTTGCTAAGCGGTTTTCCTAAAATCATTTATTTGGGTGAGAAAGATAATCCTTGCTATGCTTGGGGAATAATTGACTTGGATTGATATGAAATTTCATATGAGAGTTGATGTTGTGATCTATACCCTTTCTATCAAATATTTTGGATTGAAATTGTTTATGAACTTGATGTCATATCATGATATTTTTMTGATGGAATTGTGAGCTCTTTATGTGGTAGTGATGTTCGCGCGGGAGCTACACTTGTGGTCCATAGTGAGATATTATCTTCCAAATCCTATGCGGTTTAAGGAAGAGTGGGAATACATTATCACTGAAAGGGAGGAAGGTTTTAAGAGTTTTAAGACCTTGTTAAGACGTTGTCTGTAGGGGTAGGCAACTATTGTTTTACTGTGAGGGGAGGATTGTCTACCTGACCTTGTGTCTACTTGAAGCATGGTCACCTTACCTCCATAATCGGGGCCTAGTCAACCTCGGTCGTAYGAGGTGGGATTGTCCTACTCTTTATGGAGGGAATTGATCGAGTCGCAACACTATAATCGRAAGGAATATGGTGCGGCTCAAATCCAAACCAGGGCTTGATGTCCTCCCATGGAGCCTATTACACCACTCCTCGACGCATATCACAAAATATTCGGAAGCGCTAGATATGATAGTTGTTGGAATGAGATCAAAGCTTGGACGCATGATTTCTCTCTGGATTGTTTGTTCATACCCTGTCTAAGACTCTGTTTGAACAACTTCTAAGAGGTTGATACGTTTAAAAGACATGTCAGGGGTTATTTCCGACTCACTTGGGTTTTGCTCAGGTGATACACGGGTATCAATCGAATGAATTTCATTTTTGATCTAGTTGGAGGACTTCCGGAAGTTCCGATARCATTCAGAGAGACAAAAATATTTTAAGTGGTCGCCTGTGGGATTATGATGGGACCATTCAGAAAGAGATCCTCGTGTAGGTTTCCAAGAAATGAATCTGAGCAAAAATGCAAGGTTTTATGGTACATAATTTTTAATGGTGAATTATGTTTTTTTGTTGTATTAGTATTTTGTTTTAATGGCGAAAAATTTCAGTTTGGAACCGGATGATTGTTCAAATTGTTGTATGTTGTGGTTGTTGTTCTCATATGAAAATTTCATAAWTTTTTTTATCTCAGCTGGTGATTTATATGTGAATGACGAGGACGTCATTTAATACAGTCGGGGAAGGCTGTTGGAGTGGAGACCTTTACAAGGGTATCTGCTCGTGATACAGAGGGAGGGGGGAGAGGCTACTAGAGAGGGGGGGGGAGAGAGAGAGAGAGAGAGAGAGAGAGAGAGAGAGAGAGAGAGAGAGAGAGAGAGAGAGAGAGAGAGAGAGAGAGAGAGAGANGAGAGAGAGAGAGAGAGAGAGAGAGAGAGAGAGAGAGAGAGAGAGAGAGAGAGAGAGAGAGAGAGAGAGAGAGAGACAGAAACAGAGAGAGAGAAAGAGGGGGGCTGAGTAACAAAATTGAAATATGGGTCAAATTGCGGCCGCGATCTATTTCACAGTTGGAATGAATTTTGTTAAATTTATTTGATATTTTTCTTGGAAAGATCATAACTAAATCTACGAGTACTTCAATTTTCAGGTTTTTTCACGCATTCTTATGAGTTTGAAAACTCACTAAATTGGGAGTATTTTTTCAGGTAGCCCACATATGGCTGGGTGACAAAAATGAAAAATGTGCTGAATCAGCGTAACGATTAGTTCGTGGTCTAAATG